ATCGGGGATGCCTCTTTGGGGAGACGGAAGGATTCATGATTGCCATACAGGATCAGGTCATAAATACTAAAAACTACAGAAAACACATACTCAAAGATACAACACTCACAAATGACACATGCAGAAAATGCCACATTATGCCAGAAACAATACAACATATTACTTCTGGTTGCAAGCTCTTGGCACAGACAATTATTTACATAGACATAATCAAGTAGCAAATATAATACACCAAGAGCTTGCAAACACACACAAATTATTAGACATCCATGAATCATACTACAAATACATTCCACAGACAGTATTAGAAAACAACACGCACAAAATGTACTACAACAGAGCCATAATTACAGATAAAACAATTTACCATAACAGACCAGACGTCACACTCATTGACAAACACAATAAAATCACATACATTATAGCCATATCCATTCCAAACACTCACAATGTACAAAACACATTCACTAAAAAATTAGAAAGTACACAGAACTTGCCCAGGAAATAAGGCATTTGTGGAGGATGGAAAGGGTGCTTATTGTATCTGTCATTCTCTCCTGTACAAGTGTGATACCACACACAGCACACAAAGGCCTGGGAACATTACAATTGAATAGAAAATACATACATCACACTACAGAAGGCCACTATATTGAATACATGCCACATTGTTAGGAAATTCCTGAATACAGACACTGACACACTTATTTAATTTTTGTTTTTGTTGCTATTTCTTGACTCTGATTTGGCATAGTATACAGTCACCAGTATCAACAGAGTATAACCCACTAAATACTGTATAATAATATTTAAGATGATCTCTAATCATTCGTTTATAGGTTGTTCTGTTAATATTATGCAAAGTATAATAATTATAACTCATACTCTGATATTAATTTAAATCTGATAAGGTGTAGAAAAATTAAAGAAATTCCTATGTTACACCAAGCACGTGTGAGGAATTTAAAGAATGGTGAATTTTAAAAAGAAATATATGAAAAAAATTAACTGATGAAGATAAAAATATGACATATGAGATGCTATAAGTGATACATCAATTCCTCTGTTTTTGAGACTATTCATGAAAAAATTAATGCAATTAAATATTGGCATTATGGTAAAGATTAAGAGTGGAAATACTATAATTAGATTTACACGCAAAATTTGGTAATATAATAAGCAGTGAGAGTATTTGTGAAAATAGGTATCAAATTAAATAGTCATCAGACAATAGTTGACAGTCATCACAATTAAATTTTTAATTTTAACTGTATTTATACACTTTTAGATATGTTTGTCTGTAGATTCAGTGTGAAACATGCATATTTATGCTGTTTTATTTGACCAATATAACTTAACTGAAGAGGGCTGTAATGAAACAGCCAAAATATATTTTAGGTTGATCAAAAAATGTAGATGTTCGTAGTTTAATTTATAATTAGTAGAATAATAAAAGAGATATAAATAAGAACGTGTGATAAGTCCATAAATAAATATTGAGAAACAGTAATAAGTAAAATAACAATTTAATAATAAGTGGGCTAAAAGTTATTTAAGAATTACCATCATAGTTATTTAATTTTTACTTACTCTGTTTCCAATTTTTAAAACTTCTTCATAATCTGTAGTGTTCGAATTAATCATCAATGAGTCTGTATCACCATAAATTACTTCAAAATCCATCTATTTAAAAAATAAAGTTAAATAAGAAAAATTAAATGTCATCATTCTGTAGTTTGAAATTGTTGTTTGCCAGATAAAAATGTATGAGAATCCTATTTTGACAAATGAAAAGCAGTTTTTAAAACTTCTTCATAATCTGTAGTGTTCGAATTAATCATCAATGAGTCTGTATCACCATAAATTACTTCAAAATCCATCTATTTAAAAAATAAAGTTAAATAAGAAAAATTAAATGTCATCATTCTGTAGTTTGAAATTGTTGTTTGCCAGATAAAAATGTATGAGAATCCTATTTTGACAAATGAAAAGCAGTTTAGAGGAGAATGACATTTTTTCAATACAATTAAAATTTTTATTTATAATATGTTATCGAAATTAAATATATTTATGATTTATTAATATAAAAACTACATAAGTTCCAATACTTTTTAATATTTAGTTCCAATGATAGAACTACTACTAAAATGTTCTATGAAACTTAATATTTAACAAATATTGAAATGACTGCTAATTAAAGAAACCAAAACTTTTTATTTGCAAAACATTTGTAATTCTATAACAGTCATAATCAACACTAATACATTTAACATATTAGTGCTGATGATGATGACTTATATAGAATCAAAAATGTTCCCCAAATAAACATTTCTGAATTCCTTAATTAGCAATTATTTGAGTTTTTATTAAAATAAGATAAAATTTATGTATTAAACTAACATGTGTTTAAAAATTATTTTTTATATTAATTTTAAATACATAAAATTTAAAAATATAAATTTTGATATTCTCACCTTTTCAACTAAATCTTTAGTATGTAACAAAATCTAAAAATATGAAACAATAATTTAATTATTAAATTAAAATATAAAATAAATGATATTCTCATAAAAATCTTACAAAGATGTTTAACAAGAAATGCATTCATTTCTGCAGTAGTTTTCAAATTATATTAAATTTAAAATAAAATAATATAATTTATATTGATATTTAATGGAGCAAACAAAGTAGTGCATTTCGATTCTAACTACATATATGAATACTACACATGTATTAAATGTATAAAGATTTAATTCATTCATATTTAAAGAAGCTTGAAATAATTAATTACAATTTTAATTAGTTATACAGTTTTAAATACCTCTCTGCCTTTACTTGTAATAAGTGCTGCAAGTGGTTTTGCATAGAATCGAGAATTTGTAAAACCTAAACATCCATACATGCTATTTGCTGTCAATTTCAGAGCTTTCTGACGAATGTCATACTGTTCAAAATAAAATAAAGCACATAATTTAATTTTATAATAATTTACAATCAATATTAAAAATAAGAAAATTATTGCATTTTTCATTTAATTAGTACAGAAAAACAAAAAGTAATAGTAAAATACATTTTTACACATTTCTGATAATAAATGCAAAAACAAAAATTTTTATAAAATTAATACAGAAAATATAAACACCACCATCTTATCAATAATATTTAGATAATATAATCATTTATGTTGTTTATCTAAATATTATTGATAAAATGGTGTGTTACAACAATTTTAATAGTGTTATATAACTTTCTTTCCTATACTTTGTTTTGAAGCCCTTGCTACTTGAAGAAATATTAAGATTTTTAGGAACAAATTACATGTGAAAGTCAGAGAATTATCTATATATATTGATACAAAATGTTACCTGAAGATACACTTCAGTGTTCTTCTCACTTTTCATTAACTGTTTTACATGACGACGACTTTCAACCAACTTTCTAATCTCTGTAGGTAATATACCAGCTTCTAAACTTGAATCTGGAAGTTCAATTTTGTCTAGGTCCTATTTACAGAATGAAAAATTTTATCATTTTACATATGTTAATTAAATATAATAGTAATAGAATAATATCTAGAAGAAAAATAGTAATTTATCAAATATCCTGTTATTTAAATATTCATTTATTTTATCAAGTTGAATGCTTATCTCAAACAAAAAATTAGGTAAGATTTTTTAACAAAATTTATAATGAATGATCTGAAAATGAAAATGTATACAAAAAATGACATAAAAATAACAAGTATGCATTTCACACAAATGAAAGTAAATGTAGACATCTAATGATTATTATTATCTAAACTGCAGTGTCAAACTATAAGTCAGTTTATAATTATTTAAGTCTGTTATTTAAGCTCTGTTATTTACGTCTAAAAAGATCTCCAATAGAAATACAATAGAGCGTCGATTATCTGAATCAATTGGGGACTGGGGTTGTTCGGAAAATTGATTTTTTGGATAACTGATTATGTATGAAAAAATACGTGATTAATATAGTATATTAGTATCTCCCAATAATAGTATATTAACATATCCCATCAGAAAATCACTTATGGCTGCTGCTATTTTCGTTGTGAATTTGTCTCTTTAATCCGATTTTCAGTTCGGTAGACTATCATATACAGCATTCAGGTTATGAACTTCCTTTATTGATTTGTCATATGCATTTCGGACTCAATTGTAATTTAAGTCCCTCTTCAGTACAAACTCAGATTCTGTTTTCTAAAAACTTCGGTGTATAATTGGTAACGTTGTAAAAGAATAAAAATACAGCCATTTAAAAAACACTTCAACTACATATTCACATTAATACGTTGCACACTTTACAAATGTTCATAAAAACCTTTACAATTACAACTTTTTTCAAGAAAAATTCGTATGCACTTTATTGAAATGTTGCAGCAATAATGAATGTTTTTTTCAGGTTAATTGCTATTAACACACTTAAGAGGATACATTCAGGAAATATATTGTAAAAGTGATATATATAGGAAATATATTGTAAAAGTGTGAATGTATCCTCTTAAGTGTGTTAATAGTAATTAACCTGAAAAAACGTTCATTATTGCTGCAACATTTCAATAAAGTGCATACGAATTTTTCTTGAAAAAAGTTGTAATTGTAAAGGTTTTTATGAACATTGTTAAAGTGTGCAACGTATTAATGTGAATATGTAGTTGAAGTGTTTTTTAAATGGCTGTATTTTTATTCTTTTACAACGTTACCAATTATACACCGAAGTTTTTAGAAAACAGAATCTGAGGTAACGTATATTGTTTAATGGTTTTGTGTCAGTAAATATTATCTACACGCGAAAATTTTTTTTTTGTAATCTCACTAATTGTATATAATTTTTAAGTAATTGTATATAAAATTTTTTAAACAGTTTGTACTGAAGAGGGACTTAAATTACAATTGAGTCCGAAATGCATATAACAAATCAATAAAGGAAATTCATAACCTGAATGCAGTATATGATAGTCTACCGAACTGAAAATCGGATTAAAGAGACAAATTCACAACAAAAATATATCCCATGTTTAAATTTTTCTCTGTTGCATGTCACTTTGCGTTGAATTTTCATGTATGTTAAGCCTAACAAGAATTTTTATAATAATAATCATGGCTATTGTATTGTTAAAGATAGGGTTTCTCAAACGGGATTCCGGGATCCCGGTTGTTTTTTTAACCCGGGAAATCCCGCAAATTTCTTAAAAATTCACTTTTTTCTTATTTTGTGTTAAGGTTGAGGAATTTTGCAAATAGAAAGCATAATTAACTCATAAACTGTCAGAATACATTTGTATTTATCAATTTTAAACCTACTTATTAGTTTCTGAAGTTTTTGCTCATTATAGCATGTCACAAATGGTCAATAATCAATACATAGCTTATTTGTGTCATGACTCTCAAAATTCTTTACTTGTTGGAACCTGTAATATCTGGAATAATTGTGCTTATGCTGTCTTAATTTTTAACCATGCCCAATAGCTTCGATAACGCGTAACACCATGTTGTACGATGTCTGTAAGTACGAAGTTTTTCTTCATAAACCTGATGATCAAAGACAAACTAACTGACGAATTATTGGGCTATAAGCTTGATGTTTCTATTAAAGCAGTCGAAGTAGACAAATGAAGAATACTAGAGAGCAAAAGAAGTATTACAACCTCGAAAACGAACTCGAAATCTTCCAGGCTACAGGTGAAAAAACACATAATATCTGTCTTCTCTTAAATGCATTAAACACTATTCCAATCACATCAATTGAATCGGAAAGGGCATTCTCGGTGGCAAGACTTTTCATTACTAAAATA